TTGATCCTTGCTCCCGGAAGGATAACAGGCGCTGTCTATCCAAAAAACAAAAAACCTCGACAGATTGCCAGGTTCTGGGCAGCCCTAGTTGGACCCCGCCCCGATCTTTCTTTCAGGCTTGCTCAGCCCGCTCCCACCCCGTCACCTCCCGTCGCTTCTGGACTACAATCCTATGAAACTGCACAGATTCCCCACCCCACCCCACCCCACCCCGGATCTATGGACTCTGTAGCCTTGGATGGCAAACGACCAGTGGAAGAACAGCCTCGGCGGCCTTTTCCGTGTCTAACGTTGTTCTTCCGACTCTAGTTCGGTTCTGGAGGGGCCACTACTACCCTTTCCAGAGCAACCGGTTGTCTTTATAGCAAAATGCACTTGAAAAAGGAAAGGGGGCTTCTAGGCGAGCCTGCTACGAGCCCTCAGCTTTGCTCAGGTGCTTGTGAAAGACTGGCCCGTCCAAAGCGGCCGGTTGCGGAATTATCACAGTTTGAGCTCTTGAAATGCCCCGTTTCAATGCTTGAAATGATAAAAGGTCCCGAAAGCCCCTGCGGATGCCCCGAAAGGTGAAGTTGAAAGTCGCCGATGAAATGAGGCCTTCGTTCTTGACTCTTCCCGAAGCCGAAGCGCCCAGAAGACCTTCTTTTCATTGGCACGGAGTAGCCTTGCTCTGAAGGTCAAGATGCCAAGCCCAGTTTGGATTGGCATTCTTTTTTTTCTTTTTTCTTTTAAAAGAAGGGGCTGCAAACGGCCAACCGAATAAACCATTTCCAGAGCCCCTGAGCTCTGGAAGTTGAAAGGAAGTCGGTAGATTAGATGATGACGGCAGACTCACCCACGCTAATCCGGGATTGTTAGGCGAACTAGCGGGCGAGTTGGAACATCAGATCCAAACAGAGTCGAAATAGAATCTTTACCCGCTTCCCCCCCCCCCCCCGCCCATGGCAGGTAATGTCACACTGGGGCTGGCCGAGAGGGTCCAAAAAAGTCATAAAGGGTCTCCCAGGAAGCTTCCCCCCCCCCCCAATCTTTGGAGTTGAAAATATCCTGGGAAAGGCGGGTTGCAATTCTTCGTCTCTGGCCAGCGCTCTGGTGTCGTAGGTTCTAGGGGTGTGAGTTGCAGTTCACATTCAAATTCCAAACAAACAACACTTTCCTTTGCAGATTGTTCTCGTCTTCTTCTTTTTGTTAAACTTGTGGCCGATTAGATAGTGTAGCCCAGGGGTCTCCAACCTTGGCAACTTTCAGCCTGGAGGACTTCAACTCCCAGAATTCTGGAAATTGAAGTCCACCAGGCTGAAAGTTGCCAAGGTTGGAGACCCCTGGTGTAGCCTAAAGAACAGGGCCTGCAAAAAAAATTGCAAAAAGAGCGGACTTTGCATTCGCCCCTCTGTGAAGCGGCGCTGCCTGTAAAACTCAAGCCACCTACCGGTATTTGCCCTCGAGGAATCAGTAGCAGCAGCTCGATTTCAGTGGGAGTTATTCCCAGGCCAGTGTGAAAAACTTTGCAAGGCACAATTGCCGGGCGAAGCTCCCTGACGCCTCTCAAAGCAATAAATACAAAGGGTCTTTATAGAAGAAATAAAGCACAAATGCTCTTCCCGATCCTCGCACCCATTTTAAGTCGAGGCGTTCTCTTGTCCCCCCTTCCTCTTTCTTTCCATCCCCCCCCCCGCTTTTGAAATCAACGGCTCAACAAACGGCGACAGAGTGTACAGAAAGCCAGATAGTGGAAAATGTAATTTATATCTTCTTCAGTGAATGCAACCGTCTTGAATGACAAAACACAAGCGCGAATACCCACCAGTCTATCCGAAACTTTCCAACCTGAGGGGTAGTTTGGATGGAACCCTTCTAGATATGGGAGGGTGGGCGTTGAGACCACAGCCCCTTTGCCTAACCCTAACCCCTCCCGGGAAGAAAGGAGGTGCAAGGTATTGAGGCAGGGACTCTTTGTTTTCAGTGGGGGGAGGGTGTCAAGGAATCTGGGCGCTAAAAGCCAACACCTGCCCCACCGAAGTCCCCGACCTGCCTGTGGGGACGGTCAGCCTTGCCGCATCCTCGATTCCCTGCTAAGCAGGTTCCGAAGAGTTGGCCCGTTTTCTCTTGATGGGGGGAGAACCGGATCAGCACAGATTGTGTCGCCAAAAGAAAGCCGGCGGCGCTTGGCCGGCGTTTTTCCGTTTGTCTGTTTTTAAAGCGACGGACCCAGATTCTCCGATCAAACCAGGCACATTAATGGGGGAGCACCGGTCCCATAAGGCTGGAATCAGTCAGCTCAGCTTCCCACTCCCCCGCCCCCCCCGGCTCTCTTCTCCTTCCCTTTCAACTCTGCAAGTCAAGACACATCCCTGCCAAAGGGCCCTCGGGGCTGGTGCAGAGTGCCCTTGGCAAGGGGCCACTGCGGGACCGAAGCTTGCCTTCCCGGGTGGAGAGGCAAAGCCCAGGCGGGCTCTCGGGCACCTCTCGTCGGAATGACACACGCACACACAAACACACACACACAGCCTGCCAGCCCTTTCCGCCTTACCGGGTCCCCCCGCCGTGGGCTTCCTCATCCAGTCGCAGAAGTTCCGCCGCTGGCCGCCAGGGGAGAGAGGATCCGACCCGAGCGGCGGGTTGAGAGGCTGCATCAGCCCCGCGGAAGGGGGGACCCCGCAGGGGGGCGCCGGAGGTCCCTGGGAGGGGTGGTGCGGGTGCGGGAGGTAGTCTCCGGCGGGGCTGTAAGCCAAGGCGGCCGGGCTGGGTCCGTGCAGGGCTGCGGCGGCCGCAGGGGCCGTCCCGGGGCCGCCCGCCTGCCCATAGCCGTTCCACTCGTCTCGCAGGGGCGCGCCGTAGGCGGCTGTCCAGGGCGACCCTGGCGACTGAGCGTTGTCCAGTCCGATCCCAGCGGGCACGTGGTAGGCGCCGTAGTCCGGATACTGCGGAGCGCCCACGAAGTTTTGCGCGGCGCTCAAGTTCAGCCCCCCCGCGTGGCGCACCGAGCCGGGGTACATGGAGGGGCTCTCTTTCTCCAGCAGGTAGCTCACGTACATGGTGGTCCGAGGCGAGCGGCGCTCCTCTGCATGCTGCTGCTGCTGCTGCTGCTGCTGCTGCTGCTGCTGCTGCTGCGGGAAGAGGCTTGGCAAGGGGCGGACTGGCGATGGGGGAAACAGGCTGAGCCGAGCTGGGCTGCGGCTTCCTCGGGCCTTAAGGGCTGCGGGCTTCCTCCGGGCGTAAAGGCGCTCCCCGCGCGGCTTTGGAGGCAACCGGCAACCCCCGGGAGCTGCTGAGGACGAACGATTCTTGAGGCGGCTCTCTTGGAAATGGCCAGGCCAGGCCCACGACCCGAGGCAGGTGACGTGGAGAGAGGGAGGAGGGAGGGAGGGGAAAGGAGAGCCGAGAATGAGAGAGAGAGACAGAGAGAGAGAGAGGCGGGCGGGCAGGCACCGGGGCTGTCTCGCTTGCTCCTCGCCCCCCAAGGAAGATTTGCATTTAAAAGGAGAAGCGAGAGGGCACAACGACCTAGCCAAAGCATTTATTGTTTTAAGAGCTTCCTTCTTCCATTGCAACCTGGTGCACTTTAACCTCCAATCGCAGGTTCAAAGGATTCAACCCGAAGGATTTGCAAAAGAGAAAGCAACTGGGGGGGGGGGGGGGGGGCGGGGGGGGGGGGGGGGGGCTCGGTTAAGGAAGGGTAAGGTGGGAATGGAAAGCCAGAAAAGCCGGGAAGTCTGGCAAGGATGAATGCAGGAGGCGCGCGCGTGTCTATCTGTGCGTGTGCAAAGGTGGCTCTTGAAAATAAAAAGAAAACCAAGGAATTGAGGGAGGGACAACCCCCCCCCCCAAAAAAAACCCCAATAACTTCTGGAAAAGAATGTGAAGAAGGAACCTGAGAGGCTATCTATTCTAACCCACATCTCGTTGCTTTCGAGGGAAAGTTTCTCCACTTCAAAAGGAAGGGTGTGTGTGCTTGCTTAGAGCCTTGCGGGCGGGGGAGGGATCCATCCCCCCTTCCCAAAAGCACTTCTTCAGATTTAAAAAAAAACATTTGCGCATTAATAACCATTTGGCAGAATCATCCCAGAGAAGCGGGAAAGGAAGCGTTCAGCCCCAATTACAAAAAATAAAATAAAAAATGAGCCCATAAGTGAATCTCGAACATTAACAGGCTTCTCTTAATTTCTTTGGGGGGTTTGTCATATGCCAAGAAAGTCCTATAAGAAAATCCTCCGGTTGCAAGAAACACTGAAGTCCGTTCTAGCGTGTGGGAAAAAAAGCGGGGGAGAAATATTTCCACGTTCGAGGCAGAGCTCATTTACTCGGCGGAGAACCGGGTGAGTTTGCTGTGCCTGGGTGCCGATGGCCGCTGTCTCCCGCTTGCGCGCCTCTTGCACGACGCCCGAGACAAGGTGAAAAGTTAACGCACGAAAGCAAACCAGTGAATCTGGTTAGGCGCTGTCCCGGAGGAGCGGGGGCGAGGGTGGGGGGGGGGGGGGAGGGGAGGAAAGGGGGGGGGGGGGTTGAAGAGAAGAAAAGGAGGAAGGGGCTTGGCGCATCTTCAAAGGGCAAAGCCGGTCTCCTGCTCCAGGAAGCCCTGCAGGGCGAAAGAGCATTCTCATATCAAAGTCACATTTTGTATTATCTCCTTTGCCGAGACGCTGCGATTTGGATTGCGCGACCAGGTCACGGAGTTAACCAAAACCCACCAGGCTAGAGAAACACCTGGCAGTCTCGGTGCGTCCCCAGGGCGCTCCGCCACGTTGGGAAAGGATCTCTCTCTCTCTCTCTCTCTCTCTTTTCACTTGGTTTGTGCGTGCGGGAAATGAAGGAGGTCTTGGGAATGGGTTGGGAAGAACAGTTTCTGTTTTATGGGAAAGCGTTTCGTTATTATTATTATTATTATTTGCTTGTTTCGTTAAAAAAAATGAAAATTATGTTGGTCCGTGGTCTATATAAGGGGCGTGCATAAGTGCACCATCGTGCCTACCGTCCCTGTCCTATTGTCCTCAATTATTCGTACCTATTTCCTGTATTCTTTCCCATGTTTATACTTATACCTATTATCTTGTAAGCGATTGACAAATCAAATCAAATAAATAAAAATAAACATTAAGCTGTGTGGCTTTATAATATTTAGAGTTAAATATAAAAAAATATTAAAACCAGCCAACCTGTTGCTTTGGATAATGAGATGACCAGCGTATACATTTAATAAATAAATGCATAAATAAACCTGTATTTGCAAAGCCCTTGCATTAAACTGACTATATATTTGTTGTTTTGCTCTTTAATCTGTCTTTGTTCCTCCTTCTTACTCTTCCTGTAAGAAGAGTAACTGGCAGATCAAGAACGAGTATGAATTGTATCTCATAATTTTAAGCATAGAGGGGTTTAGAGAAGTTTTCTAAGAGTCACTTAGACGAATTGGGTGGTGTAGACATTTAATAAATAAATAAAATAGGTTTATCAGTTTTTGCTCGATGGGGAGGGGAAATATGTAAAACAATTATATTGCTTTAATGAGTATCAATGGCGTGTATGTTTCCACTGGATACACTGGATATGTTTCCACTGGGGAAACAACACATTCACATGCATTTTGCATAAGGGGAAGAATGCATAAGGGGCAAAAAATATTAATGGGGGACAGTTTCTGCCAAAAGTTTTTTTTTTTCATGAATGAGTTTTACATTGAAAAATGAAGTTGAAAATATTTATTGTTAGGTTACTTACCTAATTTTATACACTGGGCATGACATTCTAGATATGTCTTTTGATTATGTAATGATAAAAATGATGATAATGATGTTTTATGAGAATGGCAGAAGAATTTTCTTTCCTCATAAATTACTTGTCAGAATATTACACTTATTGATTTTTGCAGCAATGTTTCCCTTGATTTGTGTGTGTGTTTGTGTGCTTTAAATGGCCCTACTGGGTCAAAAAGGCACCATCCTAATGTCTTTAAAGTATAATAAGTAATATTGAAAATCAATATTAATATTCAATCAATATTAACTATTGGTTGAAAAGGGAGTATCTTTTCAACTTTGATTTTTTTTTTAGATTTTTTTTTAAAAATATAGATAAACTCACATTGGACACAACAATAATCTTCCTTTTGGGTCAAATAAAGGCTACCTGCAATTTTAAGCAAACATATTGACAATATGCAGAGAATAAAAGCCTCTACAAGTTTTAAGAGGGCTGCTCTGATGAACGGTTGTTTGAATGAAGAAAGCTGGGAATTACTTTTATTTCAATGAAGAATCATGTGATACCAGATGCCAAAGAGTTGGAGACACCAAAAAAACCTTGGTTCCAAGACCTGCTGGTCACAGTCCTTAGATTGCTTTTCTTTATGGTTGCTACTTTTCTGAACCTGTTTTCTTTTTAAATACTAATAAGAAGCATTACATAAGATAAACCCTAAATAGCCAAATTGGGTTGTGGAAATTACAAAACTGAAAATTGAAAAACTCGCTCTAAAGAGCTGTGCTGTGGTGGCGCAGTGGTTAGAGTGCAGTACTGCAGGTTACTTCTGCTGACTGTGGGCTGCCTGCAATTTGGCAGATCAAATCCCACCAGGCTCAAGGTTGACTCAGCCTTCCATCCTTCCGAGGTGGGTAAAATGAGGACCCAGATTGTTGGGGACAATAGGCTGACTCTGTAAAACCGCTTAGAGAGAGCTGGAAAGCACTGTGAAGCTGTATATAAGTTCCACTGCTATCTAGAGCATTACCTCAAGCTTAGTGTCGTGCAGATATGTAGGAATTCAAGTTCCGTTATGCTTTGCCAGCCATCTGTAGGGCAATGGTTTGAGGAAGGAATTTGAGACTCTGGGGAAAGCAAGATTGGTCCATCTATACTGCCTGTATTCAGCCATGCTTGATCATGATAAATAAGGCTAGCACACACAGAAGGTGAAGTCATAACCCAGACTATATATCCCGGTGCTGAATTTCTACTGGGAGTCACTTGATGGTAATGGGAGACTTCTGGCTTCCAGATGCCTCCACTCAAAGTTTAATTTGCTACAACTTTCTTTGCTGCTCCGAGCCTGCATTCTCACAACATGCTTTGCTTCTGGATAAAGGATGCTTTTTCTGACTTTAGGCAATAATAATTAAATAATTAAGGAAGCTGGATTCACATAACGTGCTAAAGCCATTGGCTGAAACTAAACAAACTAACATGTTGTGAGAAAAAGTGTTTTCTCTCTTGCTCAGGGCTCTTATGCCAACAGAGTTCTGGGTTAAACCTTCAGGATTTTCCCTGGGGATGTTTTAGGGTGTCCACCTTGTGGCTTCTCCCCCCCCCCCAAAAAACCCCACAACTCTGATACTGTAGTTTTCTAGAGAATGCTGCTGGGCAGTTTAATCAAACTACAATTTTGGGGGAAATGGTTGAGCCTAGTCAAAAAGGCACATATAGATTTAAGTCAGCTCTTCCTCTTACTTTCCAGATATGCAGGACACCCACTATCTTCATTCTTAGTTAACTTGTTGGGATGGATGGGAGTTGAGGTCCTACACATCTGGAGGGGGAATTGAGGTAAGTTGCTTTAAGTGGAAATAGAATCTACCTGACCACATAATCAGGAAGGAAAGACAACCAGAGGAAGAAGTAGAATTAGCAATCGCAACTTTTGCTTTCTATATAACACAACAGCTGACCAACCCACCTTTTGGAGGCTGAAGTCCAAAACATCTGATGGATTAGGATTAGGGTTTGCCTGACCTTAGTGTACATAAAAACCATCAGATTCCTAAGAATTGCTATCCGCCAGCCACATTTTAATGATGAAATGTCACGAGTGTCCCCACAATGCCTTCAAAATTATGAAAAGCAAAATCTCTCATGCTTGTCACATGCAGACCAGACTGAAACACCAATTACAACTTTTATCCTTTTTCTACTCGTTTTTCCTCCTCCTTTAGCGTTTTTAACTGAACGATGAAGGGGTCTTACACATGTTTAGGTGCTGTTGGAAACTCCCCCTTCCTAAATACATCGACTTATTATCACTGGGCAGAAAAGTGCGATCTAAATC